GTGCACGGATGTCTTGTTCCCCATTCACATATTTGACATCTGCGTCACTTCCATCAATAACATTTCCGGATGTTGGTGGCGTTTCATCCACTGTCACTCCATCCGATGTCAGTGAGGTTTGGACACCTGCACCGTTCATTGCCTTCACTGTGACAAAGTACCGCCCACCGTTCGTGACGGGTTCAACGAGAACCTTGCTCACGGACGTACTGGATGTGGTAAGTTCAGTTTCAGTCACCAGATCGCAAGAGCCTGGTGACAAGCCGGCGCACCACGTGACACGAATGATTTCACTTTCAAGGTCTTCAAATGCTTTCCAGTGAGCTGCTATGTGGGTTCTGCTTTGTTGAATGTCAATTTCTGCACCTTCATTTGTTCCATCCATAATTTGTCCTTCAGATAGAGGACCTGCAAGGAACAACAAACCACATCGTTTTTGAAATCGACGAGGACAATGAGAACGTGCTAAAGAAAAAAAAAGCTGCAAAAGCCGCCTAACAACGACTCCATCAGCAAAAAGGACAAAAACCGAAAAAGTCCATAAAGTTTCCCTTTGCTCATAACTTAGCCTGTTTTAGATATTGACGGACTGTGAAATTCCTCCACTGCGACCCAGAATATTCTACAGCTCTATTCCTGTTAAGGTATCAACTTACAGTGAAGGTAGCAAAGAACAAGTTAAATATCAAGATTGCTTCACGTTCTTTCAATATCATAATCCTAACCATGCCTTAAAACGAGAACTCGCCCAAAGTACCTGTCTTGTCAACGATGACGCCACTTGAGGACTTAACATCACTGACCAGACCAGCTCTGTTCTGTGCCCTTATAGAAACAAAGTACGTCTCGCCTTGAAGAAGCTGCAGGTTTCGCAGAGTGTAACTAGAAGCGTTACCTAGGTCAGTGAAGTTCATGATATTACATTCGCCAGGCTGGGTGCCCACACAAAGATAATATTTCTCGACTCTACTCTCCTTGTCAAAGAATCCACTCCACTCTACCGATATCTCCGAGTCGGTGAACACCTCAGAACCTTCTCCTAAAGGTAGATTCTCAACGTGCATGATTTCACCCACTACTGGGGAAGTTGAGTCAACCACGAAGCCATCCGATGACGACTCTCTAGATCCACCAACAACGTTTGTAGAACGAACTGTTGTTACATACTTCACGCCCTCTTGAAGCTCTAAGTCAGCAATGCAAATTATAGTACGATTTCCAACATCCATCTGCTGTAGCAAACAGTTGGTCTCGTCGATGGCTGCACAGATGGACACTTCGCTCTTTAATACACTACTTTCAATATCCTTTGTTTCCCAGCTGACACAGTAAGCGTCTTTGGCAGTTATGTAGTCTTTATCACCAAAAGGCGATCGTAACTGTAGGTCGAATACCTATGTGAATGTAAAGAGAAACAAGTAAAAACATTAACTGTGGCTGATAGGATTTGACTTGTTGTTTTTCTAGACCTAATAATATAATAATAGGGCTTTTAAGCAAGTAAAATGAAAAGACAATTTTTTGGAACATACTTCTCGAATAATTTTCATCCACAAAAAGTAAGTGAAATTCCGAGGATTGATACAAAACAAATAGATGTCATAGAGGACCTAAATATGAATTTATCAGTAACATCTAATGAGAAATATTAAGTTACCTTAGAGATATCAGGAGGGGTGCTGTCTACTATAACACCGTCCGAAGACCTCCTTGTAACTGCCCCTGCACCGTTGTAAGCACTAACCGTCACAAACACAGCCATTCCTGTAGCTAAGGAAGGACGAATCTGCTGACCAAAAGCAGTGTGTTCACCAACATCCGTTTCAGGAATGATGTCACAGGTTCCCTTTATTGTTCCAGCGCACCATGCGTACCTGGTTACCTCAGACTCTACATCCTGAAACTCGTCCCAGTTGGCATAAATAAATGCACCGCCAGCTTGGAAATCAATGTCCGCAAGTGTCTTCCCATCTCTGACTTTGCCCGCAACAGGAGGAGTACTGTCAACTTGAATACCATTAGAGGCTGCCAAGCTGCTATAGCCAACCTCGTTCGTTGCTCTAACAGTGACAAAATATCGCCCAGAGTGATTCAGACTTAAACCAGTGATTGTACCTTTAAGAGCCATTCCAAAACTAACAAAGTCACTTACATCGCATTTTTCTGGTGCTGTTCCCACACACATTTCGTACTCGGTTATTCTACTATTAGAATCTGCAAACGGCGACCAATTGGCGGAAATTTCACTTTCAGATATCTGCAGTGCTGCGTCATTTCTCTCGTCCGAGCCATCGTATACAATGCCGGAAATCGGTGCCGTGAGGTCAAGCATGAACTGATTAGACACAGCCTCACTAAACAACCCCACCTTGTTGTGGGCCCGCACCACGACAACATAGCAAACTCCAGGTTTGATGTCAAGAGCGGAATTCCTTATGCTCCTTTTAAGTCCAACATCGACAAACGGAGTGATGCAGTCTTTTGTAGAACCAGCGTGACAAACAGCCCACTCAAAGCGACTCAATCCACTCTCTTGATCAGAGAAACCGCTCCAATCTGCCGTAACAGGCTCTTCTTTACGCAGGTACTCAGTTTCCAATGTGTTTCCTACTATAACGGCACCCTTTGTTGGCTCAGTATTATCAATAAGCAGCGGTTTAGAGATGGCAGTCGATATCATGCCAGCACCGTTTGTCACCTTAACTCTAATCAATACTATAGCCCCTGATGCAAGCGGGTGCGAAAGAGAGTGCTTGATCCACGTTCTACTTCTTTCTACATCTGTCCATGGGACAATATCACATAATTCCGGTCTTGAGCCAGCGCACCACTCTACAGAAGAAATTCCACTTTCTGTATCGAAAGGTGCTTCCCAGGAAAACGATAACAAACGATCACTTTGTTGCTTGATGTTGCATGAAGAATTATTAGAAACGTTGCACCACTGGACAGATGAGGAGGTACTAGCCAGTAAAACTTCCCCAACGCTTGGCGGAGTACTGTCCAGCATAACGCCGTCAGAGTAAGCTGTTTCTTTTAATCCAGCACCATTTAGAGCTTCTACTGTAAAGAAGTGCCGCTGACCTTCTTTAAGGACAACGTAAGAATGCGCTCTTGTTTGGAGACTTGCAGACGTCATGTTGTGTACGTTGCAGGCGCCTGGGAGAAATAAAAAACTACCCTAAGGGTTCATGTATGAAATGCAATCTCATTTCTAACTTTTCGAGTTAATTGTATGAATTTGTTAGGAAAAATCGATTAGAACAAAGCTTCTAGATCTTCTAAATGCTTCTACCTCAACAAAAAAATCTCAAAATTATTGAAGGAATCGAGGTAAAAACTCCATAGGGTGTAGGTGCACGCGCTATAAGATGGCTTAGAGACGTCATGACTTCACCGTGTGACGTGGTTTTCATAAAATTGTCGAGCCATACAAAAAACTTAGATTCTATAATTTCCATGTTCATTAACCTTCTATTTTTTTTAATAAGATGCTCTCAGGAAAAAAAACGTTTTACGAGTATAAAAAAAGTTAACAACTTACCTTGCGTTGTTCCAACACACCAGCTGTATTCAACGACACCGCTCTCAGTATCTTGAAATCCTTTCCAGTGGGCAGACAGTACCCCATTCTCGTACTGATAATCTATATCGAAGAATTCTTGACTACCCATGGAGGTAAGATTTCCATCAATTACAAGACCAGATTGTGGTGGCGTCCAGTCCACTACAACTTGCTGTGATGTCAGAGTGGTTTTCAGGCCAAGCATGTTGACTCCAATAACTGTTACGTGAAAGACTAGTCCTTGGTGGAGAGTAAAATTAAGTTGGTCCAAGTCGATGGAACGACTAAGGCTGTCTACACGTTGAAACCCTAGCAAGTTGTCTTGGAATTGGAAACTACCTACACCCACAAGAAAATGGCTTATACCGCTTTCAGGATCGTCTATGGACCACGTGACTACAGGGGCAGAAGGTGCATTCACGTACAAACTTCCTTTTCCAGTTGTGGGAAATATTTGAAGTGACTTTCCTATTGGAGGCGTTCGATCGACAACAACACCATCCGATGAAGCACTGACATGCTCTCCTCTGTAGTTCTCAGCTCTCACTGTAACATAGTATTTCTTGCCGTGTTCAAGTGTCAGGTTGTGGAAGCGGTTAGTGGACGTTTTCAGATGATGTGACTCCAAGAATGGCCACTTACAAAGATCAGATCCAGAAGGGTTAGGCGGTTGATCCCTAATGCACCAATCATACCTGAAGATACCAAATACTGGATCCTTGAAGCCACTCCAGTGCGCCCAAATTGCTTTGTCGTCTAGTTGGAAGTCAATATCCTTCGCTGAAATTACTGGGCCATCGCTTACTACCCCAGCAGAAAACTTTCCAAGTATGACAAACAATCCAGACGAGCAATCAGTTCTTTGAAGTCCAGCGCCATTTCTAACTCGAATGCAGACGAAGTAAGTCTTATTTCCGACGAGGGTTTGATTACTGATCACCACTCCACCCACTGAGTCGTCTGCGATAACATCGGTATAAAAATCGTCGACACTTGATTTAAGCGAAAGAAGATCTTCACCAACAGCCCAACTAGTCTGTCTAATACCACTTTCAGGATCTACAAAGCCTGTCCAAGTTACCACCATCAATGATCCTGGTACTTCATTCTTGTTCCGATCATAATTGGTTGGGAAAACATACTGAGCAACCACAAAGCCAGGGTCCGGCGCAGTTCGGTCGATTATGACACCATTTGATGCTGTCTTACTAGATAAGCCGGCGTTATTTACAGCAAGGAGCCTCAAGAAATACGTCCGACCAAGTAGCAAAGGAATATCTGAAATCAAAACGCTTGACATAGAAATTGACACTTTAGTAAAGTTTCTGATGTCGTTACTCTCTGGATTAGTTCCCAATCCCCATGCGACAGACTCGAGTCCACTTTGGTCATCCTTCGCAGTCCATGAAGCGCTCACAGAATCATTATTTGGATCATATGTTAATTTTAAGTCGTTCACTTCAGGAGGTGAGCTATCAATGATAACACCATCCGTCCAATTTACTGAGGACAGGCCGACAGCGTTAAGAACCTCAATACCAACGACGTAGGTTTCTCCTTCTTTATAGTCTGTTGAAATTCGACCTCCTCCTGTTATTATTGCAGTCCCTGTGGAGTTTACAGGTGTCTTTAAAGTATAAAAAGGAATAGCGTATTCGCTCGTGCGTAAGTTTTTAACTGAGAAACGATAGCGAAGTATCGGGGATTCATTATCATAGCACAACCATGAAATGCTCAGTTTGCTTGAGCTTGGAACGTATTTTAAGTCCTGCTGAAGATCTCCCTGACCATCCCATACGTGCAAGCATACCGGAGGTGAAGTATCCACGGTGAATCCATCTGATTTCATAGTAGTTTCCAACCCAACACCGTTCACTGCTGTCACATTGACAAAATACCTTCTCCCACCATCAAGATCTTTGGCTAAAATCAAAGCCGCTGTGGAGACATTGCCGTTGAAACTGAAGGATCCGTGAGCGTCTTCGACTGAGCTGAATACCTTCACTGCATATTCTTTTACACCACTCTCCGAGTCAGCAAATTTGAATTCTACAGTCAAGTTTCTTGTAGAGTATTGGTATTTCCCATCTTGGACATAAATTAAATCTGGAGGAGTGTCATCAAAGACAACACCGTTCGAAACAGCAATTGCCTTAAGGCCCACATTGTTGGTGCATTTTATCGTTGCAAAGTAACGATATCCCAGTTGAAGATTGCCCGCTGTTGTAAACGATGTTTTGTGAATCGGCAAGCTTGTGAAGTTCATAACATCGTCTTCTCCAGGCTGTAAACCAAAGGCAATCTCTATGGACGCTAAAGATGTTTCTGAATCATCGCAGGTCCATGTGGCAGCCAAGGAACTTCCTGAAGTAAAACTTAGGTCTTGATTTGGATCGTCACCATCGAGAACAGGCTCTGAGAAAACGGGAGGTGTGAAATCCACCAAAACACCTTTGGAGGAAACCATTGCACTAGGCATACCAAGCAGATTAAATGCAATCACTGTCGCATAATAACGACTGCCACTAGTCAACTCTGAAATTTGTAATCTAGAGCTTGCAGCTGTGTTTACGAGCCCAACATCTGTAAATTGTTGCACATCCTGGGCTCCAGGAGACGTGCCAAATGCCAGCTGATAAGTTAATATTTTTGTTTCTTGTTCGGTAAAGTTAAACCAAGAGGCTCGAAGAACTGAACTCTCGATTTGTACGTCAATTTCCATTCCAGGTCTTCCATCGGTCACAGAGCCTAGAAGGGGAGGAGTGCTATCCACAGTCACTCCGTTAGAGTGAAAAAACGCTTGATTCCCGGCCCTGTCTGTCATTTTGAGGCATGCGTAGTATCTCTGACCAGAAGTCAAGTTCAGCCCAAATAAGACATGATAGTTTGAATTGGATGGAACAATCTGTTCCTTCTTCACATCGCAGCTTATTGAGTCTGCCTTGCTCGATAAACCTAATAGTACTGTTTCAATACCAGAGAAGTCAATAAAGCCATACCAATGGGCACGGAAAAGGGTGGAGTAGCTTTGATACTGGGCATCAGCTGAGCCCCATCCGTCTAGGACGATTCCCCCTTTTGGGGGTTCTAGGTCAGAGAGTAGAGGGGGCGATGATTTGATGCTAAACAACCCAGCGTTGTTGATGGCCCAAATGGTAATAAAATAACGTCGGTTGCTTTCCAAGGACAACAAGTTTGGCGCTGTCCAGTTGGCTCTCAGTGAAGACTCTGGTTTACTTAATGGAATCAACTGGAATCTCATGACGTCATCAGCCCCAGGATAGCTTCCAACTCCCACCTTGTACGTCGCAACTCTCGATAAATCGTCCTCAATTTCAAAATACGCTCTGAAAGTGATACGCGGTTTGTTAATAGCTGCCAATGTTTCGCCAAAATGTCCATGCTGAATGTACGTTATTAGAGGGGGACTAGTATCAACGATGAATGTATTTGATAAACCGCGAGCAGCAAGACCTGCTTTATCTTTTGCTTCAATAACCACTGAGTACATTCCATCTTCGAGGTCAATGTTGCGCCCAGTAACCCTAACCCGTCCAGCCGTCTTAGGCGCTGCCAATAGGTCGTCATTCTTCAAAGAGGCCACTGAAATACCGAAACCTGCAACGCCACTATGTACATCGTAGAAGCTGTCGTTGCTGCACTGACTAGAGTCGACTGGTCCAAATACTCTCTTCTCATCCGCTAAACACCAATTCCATCTTGCCCATACTGATTTACTAATCCATTGAAACAACTGAGGAGGGCCTGTTAGTCCGGTGATGACTTTTCCAGTGTGTGGAGGAATAAAGTCCACAATAGCTCCGTTACTACTGCCATTAATACACATACCAACCCCGTTGCAGCCAACAACTGTAACAAAATAACGCTGACCACTGCTCAGGAAAAGACCTCCAATGGTCACTCTGGTTTGGTAGCCAACTGTCTTAAAATTCTGAATGTCACTGAATCCAGGGTTAGTCCCTAAAGCAACGCGGTACTCAACCAGGCTGCTTTCTGAATCTGCAAATGCTTGTTCCCAGTGCGCACTAAAGGTGTATCTTTCACTAGTGTAGTTCTTATCCCTTCCCTCTACGCCATCTTTAATGTATTGTGAAGCCACTGTGGGCGGCGTATTGTCAATGATAATTCCATCGGACCAAATAGTTTTCTTGAGGTTAGCTCCATTTATGATCTTAATGGTGACGTGATATCTGACTCGCGGAAGAATATTGACATCAGAGAAACTCGCAAATAGCATACCACCTTGGATGACTTTGTGGGTAACGAAGTTGACATCTTCAAATGCTCTCACGTCATCTCCTCCTGGATAAGTACCAACTCCCACCAGTTGTGCGCGAAGGCCACTTTCCTGATCTACACATTTCCATTTTGCTTGAATACTGCTCAATTTTCTAACAAAGTCTACATCAAGTAAATCTTCATCGTTCGTTACGTCAATAGCAGCCTCTTCGCAATACGGCGGTGTATTATCTGGCACAAATCCATTTGTCTCAATAACTGTTTGAAGTCCTGCCGCGTTTGTTCCACGGAGTACTAGTTTGTAAGTTAAACCAGCTTCAAGAGAAAGGCCATCCATGAAGGGTGTCTGTTGAGTGAGTGCAATATCTACAAATGACGTTACATCTTCATCGGTGTTGTTTCTTGAAATCTTCCACTCATATCTCACCAGAGGGCTCTCAGGATCTTTGAAATAATCGAATTTTCCCCGAACACGCCTTAGCGATGGGAGAAACATTGCATCAGCTTCACCAGCACCATCCTGGAAATACCCGGCAAAAGGAGGTGTCGTGTCAATCAAAATACCATTGCTGCACATGACTGATTTTAATCCAAACAAATCCATCGCATAAAGGCGTGTGAAATATTTTTTGCCGTGAATCAAATTCAGGCCAGAAGTCTGGATAGTAGTTGAGTCACCGAGAGTGGTCAAGGGAACGATATCTGCTTCAGCTTCGTTAAACGTGCAGCTGGGAGAGGACGATACTCCCCATTTTGTGTATGCGATATCCTCTATATTGCTCTTGAAGGCAAAATTCATACCTAAAGCGTACGTATCTGACTGATAATCCACATCTTGATGTTCATTGACACCATCGTAGACATACCGAATCTGAGGACTCTTACGTCTCGCCGTAAATTTAGGGCAGTTAACTAACTTACTGTCACGCCCCATGTCATTTGTCGCCAATACACTGACATACACATCTCGTCCGTGCATTATTGGAAGATCGTCGACAACTACGCTTAAAGATGTTTCCACCCATGCAGAGTAGTCATCGCCAGAACCCTGAATGGATCCTATCCTGACGTGGTAGTTGTTGATTTTAGTATCTTCGTAGAATCCATGCCACTGTACGAAATATTTTTTGTCAGCAGCTTGCCTTGCAGTACATTCACCAGCAACAGGAGGCGTCGTATCAACATCTTGGTGGCAATTTGTAAAGAGCGTCCGGTCGATCGTTCTCGCTGACCACCACCACTCCGCAAGGGTCTTCTTCGAACACCATCTAATCTTTATACTACATCCAAACAACTTGCATCTGATCCTAATGCAAAGACGGAATCTGTACCACAACCAAACTCTGATGCGAAGTGGAGTCATTCGTAACTTAAGTTCTATGCAAGCTTTAAGCGGCCACTTATCGATCTTGATTCGTAGTTCTGGTACGAAGTAGGATTCTAGAAGTCTTGCTTCAATCGTAATTCCAGCTTCTACGATAAAAATTGATAAAGAAGCACCAGCGTATACAGAGATCCAAGCTCCAGGAATGAGGCCAAGTCTGAAAACTTTGTCTCTCGTGCAAACTTGCCCTTGATAGTCTACACTATAATAGCCACCAGCCCCAGCGAACAGTCTTACTGGTATGCCAAACACAATGATGGTTTGTGAATATTCAGGGAAGAATTTCTGATATCCCCTAAGAACATTTCCACGGAACAAAGTCATACATGATCCAAGATCTGAGGTTTGCCTGCGCATTCTCCTATTGCTCTTATGATCTTCTTCCAGTTGCTCAGAGTAAACATCAGACTCCAATAGCTCTTGCGAGGTGCTTCGCTTTC